AACTGTCAACAATGTTACAGTAGTACTGGAAAATAATAAACCTAATTTGTTACTTTACATTACAGGCTACATTATCATTTTCAAGTATTAGGTTTAATATTTTCCAATACTAACATTATTGACAGTTTGCAAAATGTTTTCTATACTATTGTTTAAAGAATGATTTGCTATACGTAGGCTACACCCATTGCTTAACAATGGGCTGAAAGATTCAGAGGAGCTTTCTTTGTTTTTTGTAGGTAGCTTTGATCAGTAGGGTAGGAATGCTTTGATCTTTAGTTTATTCATGGCTATGTCACCCAGTACGGGTAATGTTTTGATTGGTCAAAAACTTTTGGTACTTGTGCATAAGCTTGCAAATATGGATAATTTTTCATTCCTGATGATGACATAATTAATGTCGAAATATTGAATCTCGACACGATGCGTGCATTTCAATACTTGGAGTATGTATTATACTATCTTATCTGAGATTAATCAGTGGACCTTTCCGTTATAATCTGTTGACAACTATTAAATCATATTAAAAAAAATTAAAAAGCTTTTATATAATATATTAACATAAAATAACAAATATTACTGTAGGCTTATGTAAAATTTACTTAACGCTTGTACATTTGTGATATATAAACAAACTAAAAATTTTAAATCTTCTATTAGAATTTACATAGTTGGAGTGAGTTTCAACATAGGCAAAACTAGCTACCTGTATACCGTACAGTACCTCTAACTACTTTGTTTTATATCTCTATATTTTAAAAATAACCATTTTAAAGCATACAAAAAAGACAATGAACTAGTTGTGAAATTCATTAGAATTTAATCATTTCTTAAATAAATATTTATTTCTTTCTGAAAATAAATAAAATGACATCATGTCAAGACGTCGACTATTTTGACGTGAAAATCGAAAAGTGCCTAGTACTTGTGTCAATGAACTGGAACTGAGCGTGTTTACATTTTACAAAAGGCTTTATAAATTAATTCATTATGAATGCCTTTGATTGGTTGAGACGTTTATTTCAGGTCAGTCACATATCTCAGGATTCAAAGTTGTTTACCATTTTCAAAATTTCTGAGACCGGTCGCCATATTTCAATATTTTCAATTTCTACAAATTACTATAAAATACATTGCTTTTCAGAGAATTGCGGTTATTATGTTCAACTTGTTACCATCTGCAGTTTAGGCCAGGTAAAAAAAAAAGTAATTTCTCGTCCTAATATTTTGAAAAAAGGAGAATGAGAACCCTTTTTTACTCCGAGATGGCAAATTCAAGACGGTCGATGGGAAACAGCTACACTACTTTCTCACTTTTACCAAGTAGACACATTGAAAGCAAATAAAAGAAGCACTAGACATGATGCATATTAAATGTATCCCCAACCACAAACGATCGAGAGAGAAATTTTACAGATGCGAGTTAGCCCGATTTTCATAAAATAAAGGTAATAAAATAAAAAAAATAAAAAAATTGGTGAGGCAGAGAAAATGGATGCATGAGCGGACAAGGAACTAGTATTCTTATTTATTTGGCCTTGTATCTCAGAGTTTATTTGCTGTGGCTCCCCCACCCACCACCCTTTGTACAGTGTTAAAATTTTAAAGCTTGTTCTTGCTACCCAACACAAATTCTTTCCTGGGATCACTCAAAATCTAAAGCCATAAAATCCCAGACCAGGTGTTTTTAAGGTACAGAAATCAGCCCATGAAATTAGAAAAAAATTAGGTTGGCAAAAATTTGCCGACCTTAAATTCTCCGAGATCGGCAGCCTCTGCAATTTTTTACTACCTAGGCCTATATAGTATAAACTACAATTTTTCCGAACGCTAATATATTGCTGGTGAAAGAATGGTCGTACTTGTATTAATTTAATAGTGTAGTATAATACATAAGAAAACTGCCGAATAAATTTCGTTTTATTGCTATCTTTAGCATGGGAAATACCATTTTCATAAAAGCTACGATCGTATATCACAGGCTGCTTCAAAACTGCCCATGTCCATGCGCATGCCCAGAATGATCTATCAGGGATTTTCCACACATGTACAGTACAGTACTTGTCAGTAGTGAAGTCACGATGCGATCGTGATTGCGTTTAAACGGACGGTAGGATTAGGCCTACAATATGTTGAATTTTTGTTGTTTTTAGATAATGAACAACATTTTAAATATGATAATACTGTAAAATGAAGACAAATAATAGATTTAGATAAGCATTACAATCTACACAGCCCGCGTGGCTTCAATTGGGCGATGCTGTAGGCCTTGGCTGGCTAGCGTCATTCCTACCTTGGACTAGCCTACGAAACGACTAGGCGAGAAAGACAAGACGGTTGTACACAAATTGTACGTACTGCATGCCTATTAGAAATAGTTATTGTACGAACAAATCTGTTTTATGAACCACCAATTTCCTTGGTTTGACGACGTACAGAAATTTATTGTCTGCTATAGCCTGTTTCAGTCAAAGTTTTTGACTTTTCAAGCAGTTTTTGAAGCAAAGAAATCTAGGCCTAGGTCGGCAAAAAATTGCCGTCCTGTAGCAATTCTGGCTCGGCAATATGGTCGGCAATTGCCGATTGCCGACGTAAAATTCGTGGGCTGAGAAATGTGATATTGTATGGTTCAGTTTGGATTTTATCTTCTTGCAGGCTTTTATAAAGTTTTGCTTATAATAATAACAAATGGTGATTACGATTATGACGATGTTGATAATGATAATAGATAATAATATTAAAAAGTGAAGAAAATTGTGCTAAAGGTGAGAACGAAAGTTGTGATTTGTTGATCATAATTATAGTATAGTGAAAGCTTTGTAAGCTATAGTTAGGCCTAAGTTGCCCTGGATATTAATTCCTATAGATCCCTGATAAAAGATCATGAGAAATTTGTAGGCACTTCATTTTGACTATAAATAATGGTGATTGATGATGAATTTTAGGCCTACTATAAGTGTCATTTCTTGCATCTAGAGATACTATTTCGTCAAATTTTCTCATTTTAGTCAAAACCATGGTGGGTCTGAGGTCGGTGTCAACTCACGAAATGTCCCCAATCCTCCACCTTTCAAAACAGATCTACGACCTTCCCTGGGTATGACATTAAACTCCATCGAACTCAGAGTATGTCTAAGTAGTAAATGCTAAGGCGAGGGTGCATCATTGTATTTAGGATGTGATCTGGTTTTTCATGCCAATTTTTCGTGATTAATGACTACTTTGGATAAAGAATGTTTTGAGCAGTGGCGAATTCAAGGGTTGGGAGAGTGCTTCCCCACCTAAATTTTTTGATGAAAAAAAAAATATATATTACAGTATATTGAAGTGTGAGAGTGCAATTTCCGGCCATCTAGAGGTGCCCTAATCATAAATTTTCTAACCTCAGCCTCAACCGTGGTGGGGCTGAGGTGGGTGGTTATTCAGTCTGTGAAAGTCTCTCCCTGGGTCACCTCTTTCAAATTCCTGGATCCACCACTGGTGAGTTATATAATTATTGTTAGGCTACTATTATGATGTGTCTATTGCAATTTTCACTATTTCCTCTCAAAACAGTCCTAACTAAAGACATTCAGACATACTTCCCAGGGGGCTTCGCCTCTGGAACCCACCGGGGTCCTATGTACCACACAACAGCTCCCCCTTTCAAATCCTGGCTACAGTACGTTCCTTCGGCACATAAACTGCAATATTGTTGACGTAAATAAAGTAATTATGCGTTTGAAAAGTTATCTAAATGTTATTTAAAGTGTTTTTACTTTCAAGTTAATGATTATCTAAACAAATAATTCAATATCAAAAATTAAAGGGGATAATTATTAAAAACAAGATAGTTTCAGGATTACTGCGAGACTGCTTTATTCTCCCAAGCGAAGATAACGGCCAAATCAAAACAGAGTGACAGATATCTTATTGTTAACATCCAACTTGCTATACATTCACTCAGATACTTAAAATGTTTATAAAACCGTAACCAGTTGCTCGATTTTGCTAATCATATTAAGATTTTTATGTTAAGTACTGAAATATTTTTTTTAAATATACACTACAAAGCCAGGCTGTATATTAAGGCCTGTGCGGGGAATATATCCTCATGCAAAAATTTGGCATAGAAATCCATTCGCGTATTTCCGAAAGTAAGAAAGGGCCGATTTCCATGCAGATTTTGCCGGAAATTACGCTTTGAGCAAATCTTGATATATATAACCAATGTAGCAATTACGATTCCGCACACCTATATTCCTAGCTATTTTCCTAGCAATTTTCCGCACAAATTTGAGCTTAATTTTTAAATATCCTCTGCGCAATTAAAAAACTTTGCATGGACTAGCCTAGCCTAGGCCTACAAACAAGTTTGTATTTATTCTAATTGTGTCATGTCTAGGCCTAACCATCATAGGCCTGTCTAGGAGGAAGGCCTAATTAAATGAGTGGTGGTCTAGGCCTAAGCCAGGTATAGGCCTAGGCCTAGGCAGGCCTTAGCTTATACAGTAGTAGCCTAGAGTCCTAAACCTATATATAGGGACCGAGACCACTTCCTCCTAGGCTACCTCTCCAGGCTAGAGCCTAAGGGCCTAGGCCTAGCCTAGACTAGCAACCAATGCAATGACCTATGTATTGTAGGCCTAGCTACGGGCTAGGCCCTAAACCTTATATATGATATATGGGTATGAGGCAAGGTAGGCCTAAGTTAGCCTAAGGCTACCTTGCTCGGGCCCACGTTTTAGGCAGTTGTTCACATATTCATATTCAATTTGAGTACTATTATGTCTACTATTTTCATCACCTGATATATCTTGACGTATCCAGCTGTACCGGAAGATAATACTAAGGAAAATTCACACCTTGATTGGTTTGTTGTTATCTCGATATCGTCTGGAACGCCAAGTCGTCTTCTCGTTCTCGTCGATGATGAAAAAGTTGCTGGTTAAAAAAAACCAATTACAGTAAAAACTATGTTAAAGGTCAGAACATAGGCTCTTTAGTACAGACAACCGTACAAATAATATGGTGACTGGCTTTATAAGCCTAGCGGTAAATATTGCGCTCTGGATTTGGAAAAAACCGAGACTCAGAATAGACTGTACTTTTACTCTTTTTCTTAATAGATAAAATACTGCTCCGATTATCGGTAACAGATAAACTACATCGTATTTCTTTGTTATACTATATAGGCCTAGCTAGGACATTTAGGCCTGCCCTAGTAGGAGGACTAACGTTGAACAAAGCGACTAGGCCTAGGCTAGCCTAGCTAGGCCTAGGCTACGGCATAGGCCTAGCCTAGCCTAGATAAATATAGAATAGGCCCCTAGGTCCTAGGCCTACTAGCATCCTTAGGCTAGGCCTAGATACCTAAGTAGAAATTCGCTAAAGTATAATAGGCCTAGTAGTAGTAGCAGCTAAGCTAGAAGCTAGACTGGTCGGTCTACCTACTATTATTCTAAGTGCACATTAATAGAAAAAATTATTAAATTTTCACTCCTTTTTAAAAAAGAATTGATGAGGGAGGGCGGTTTTTTTTAAATATTTTTTTTGTCGGAACAATAGATTATTTCGCTTTTGTTTTTATCGATGAGGGAGGGACAGCTTATATTTGGCCTGTAATAGTAAATAATGTATAAAAACTGGTTTTTTAAAGAAAATGTATTTGAAGTCACAAAATCGGCATAGTTATTTTTACGCCGTGGCTAGAGATACAGTACCGTATCGGAACTTCTGATGACGTAATATCATTTACCGTACCATTAGCAATCGGAAGTTCCGATACGGTACCGTATCTCTAGCCACGGCGTTATTTTTATGCTGTTTTATGCGGTAAACAATTTTTTTTTTTATTCCGCCATCAATATTTCCCTAATTTTTGAAGCGGGTGGGAGTGATAATCTAATAAATTTTTCTATTTGCCCTAATCTACTAGTAGCTACTACTACTACTAGGCCTAGGTAAGTAAAGGTTTACTTGTTTCCCAGGGAGTCTTCTGTAATCTGATCCTCCTGGGTAGAGACAAGCAAAACAATGCTTATAGGCCCCTCAAAAAACACTGAATAAATTAATATTTAACATAGCAGATGGTCAGCTAAACGTACTTCAATTGCAGATTTAAATAAATTAATTGAGCTAGAGTTAACGCCTTCGTTCGGTAAAGAATTCCACAGCCGGACTGACCTAAATTTGAAAAAGCGTGACTTCTAATAAGTGACCTACTGAGTGCTGATGTTTGATCTTAAAGGAGTGACCTCTAGTTCTAGCACCTTAATATCAAACTCAAAATATAAATCAGCCGAAACCTTATCAATTCCATGGACAATTTTAAAAAGCTGTAAAATATCAGTTCTCTGTCTACGGTTGGCTAGTTTTAGGCTAGGCCTAGCCTACTATATAGTTGCTAGGCCAGGCCATGCTCATCAGACATCTTTCTGTTTTAAATAAGGAATCTAGGCCTAGACCCAGACTATAAAGTAAGGCCTGCGCGGAAAATAGGCCTTTAGGCCTGTCCTCCGCGCACAACCACAAATTAAGCCTAGAAATCCATCCGATTTACGCACAGATTTTGCGAAAATTAGGCTTTGACTTAATATAATATACAGTAATAACCAATGTATTACTATTAATTATGCAGCACCTCTTTCCTTGCAATTTTCCGTCCAAATTTGAGCTAGTCTTTAATGTATCATCCATGCAATTAGAAACTTAACAGTATGGGCCTAGACGGGGCAGAAGGTAGGTGCTAGGCTACTAGGGGCTAGCTAGGGCTAGGACCCTGTAAAGACAAATTTAATTGTGCAGATGATATCTCAAAATCTAGCTCAAATTTGCGCGGTAAATGGCTAGGAAAATACAATGGCCTGGTTTAGATAATTGGAGTAGGTCAACATGCATTTTTCTAAAAAAAAATGAAAATGTGCAGGCACTGGGGGTTTAAATATTAATAAAAGTAGTTCCGTATTCATTGTTAAACGTAGGGGAATGAGCTAGCCCATTCAGGGACTTGTTATAGTGATCACTATAACAACTCCCTGGCTCATCGTACTAAGCCTCAGTAATGTGTGGTAGGGTAGTGAACTACCGGGTACCCATTTATAATCTTGGGTGGTGAGAGACGTAACATAGGTAAAGTACAAATGCACAGCGAAGGTTGGAACCCCCGACCTTGAGGTTGACAGACCGAAACGTAACCGTTGGGCCAACTGCTCCCACTAAATATTAATAAGGAATGAAGAATTAAGGCATTTTCTGGATGACTAGACCATTATCTGTAGTAGGCTAGTTACTTCACCTATTCCATTTTAATTACATTACTGTATTTTAATAAATATTAGAGTAGGCCCTAGGTAACTTTATTTAAACACAGCTTTTAGTTGAAGCAAAATGTATAGTACTGCAAGGGTCTGACTCTCAGGGTTTCTTGGGAATGCAATCCTATCTCCAAAAAACTACAATCACGAAAAAAGAGGTCGTCTTTCAAAAGAATGTAAAAGGCATTTCTAAATAGGGCGCCTCCTATCTCATGGTAGTACTTGTTTTAACGTTTCATTGCATGCATACAAAATCAGGATCTCCTGCGATTCTATACTCTTGGTTGAAGCAAAGAAAACATGGGCTTTAATAAGGGGCTTAAGCCCATATGACCTAATTGAGTTGCCACTACTTATGAAAGCAGATTAGGAACAGTTGGCTATTAAGGGTAACTGGTTTTAGCCACCGTGTGTGTACACTGAACCACAGAGATCCTTTCAGACCTTTGTGCCTGCCTCAATTCCATTGCTACTCTTTATGTTTCAGGTAGAGTGGTGAAATACAAAAATACAATAGCACACTATTTTTTGAATAAAGATATTTTTGTTGGACCAGTGTTCAATTTGGCCAATGTGCATGTTATAAAGAATGCAGTACACACTTTGAAAAAAAAAACCTGTTGGAATGTCCTTTTTGTGGGTTAGTCTTAGTGCATTTCACACTAAAAAGTTTAATTAAATCCAAGGGTGTTTGTAATCCATTATGTGTTACAAAGCTAAATTATGTAAACAGATGTAGGATGGGATGTGAATATATTATATTTGGCTTTAATGCTGTATTCACACTGTCAAGTGAGACCAATTTGTGGTATGCCCATAAATGAGTGTGATATGATGTCATCATGCCTAATATAGTTAAATACACAACAAATTGAATTGTCACATAACAGTTAATAGTGGAAACAGAGATTTAGTGGAAGAGTTATTGATTTCATTAAGGTTATTCTTTTTTTTGAAAAGGAACATCGAGAGGAACCATATGATGTAAGACTTGAAAACACCCATCTCTCTGAATGGCATCGTTTGAGAATCGAAGGCCGGTGTCATCGAACTCAGGATGTGTCCAGAAGCAGTCGTTGAAGCGTGTTGAGCATTCCGTCGTGAAATTCACAAAGGTCATTGTGCCAGCAGATTTAGACCGCTTAAATCAACACAAAGTGAACATTGATAAGGTTAGTACAAAGTGTACTCCGGCTGTATGAGAATTTTTATAATTTATTATTAATAATTTATTAATTTATGACAAGAGATATTTATATGCATTTGACATGTACACAGTAATTAGTATGAGTTTAATGTTATGATTCTATACCTAATCTCATTGGATTAGGCTACATATACAGTACAGCCACATCATTATTTGTGAGTTATAAAGTAAAGATCTGATAATATTATTTCCATTGAATGTGTATTACTTTTAAAATATTAAACTTATTATTAATTACCACAAATATTTGCACTATAGATCTAGTTAGTCTGTAAATGTATTAAGTCTGATAAAATATTAGACCTGATAGACAAAGTATATCTGACCTATCTTATGTACAGAGACTTGTGTTCTACAGTCCAATGAATGATTGATGATGATGATGAATGCAGAATGTTATAATTTCCACTAAATCAGAATTCAAACTTAACAATCCATTTCACTGTAAATTCTTGTGTGATGGAACAAGATAGAGTATCTAGCCTTCCTGATTATATAAACAATTTATTGAGATGAATGTCTTTTAATTCCAATTACCCAATGGAGTATTCTTGACCATGCTGACGACAATTCCATACATGTTAAAAAATGCGGGGAATTTTGTCACAAGCAATTTTCTATATTATTTGAAATTTATTTATTTATATCTATCCTCTCTTGAAGAATATCGATCACATACATATTCAATACTTTATTTTTGTATACAGTAGTTCCTGATTCTAAGCAGCAAGCATCCAAATTCCTATTTCAGCGAAAATTATATAATAAATTTTTAATGTCAATTTATAAATAAATCTTGATTCAACATAAACATCTGGTTTTTCTTGAAATCAAAATGTTCCTAGTAGAAATCCTTATAATGACCAATGAAGGGTCCTAAATTTTGTATGATTTAATTAAAAATGAATTAAAGTCTTTTTTTAATATTTTTAAACTTTTTTTTCTTTTGTCTTGTAATTCATAGTATCGGCAGCAACTGGAATGGGACAAACTCAACAATGAACAGATAAATGCAAGCAGAACTGTACAAGTAAGACATTGATTTTCATTTTGATCCTGATAGGTAAGTTTAATGCTAAAGGGTAATGGTGAATAGAAAATATATTTATTCTGAAGTCAACTAAAACCAAGGATTCTAAAAACCCCAAACAGACCAATGCACAGGAACTAACATCACTGCACTATTCACCTTCAGTTCTCTAGACCACCAACACACAGCTATTGTAGGTCCATAGTAGGCATCTAGTCTAGCACCCCTCCACCCCCCCCCCACCACACTGCCAGTGGGTGACACATCATAAATACTGATAATAATAATAATAATAATAATTATTATTATTATTATAATTTCTCTAAATCGGACTTAAGGGGAATATTTTTTTATTTATTTCCCCGTCATGTTATTTTCCCCGTAACGTAATGTTATTTTCCCCATAACGTCGTTTTTTTAATTGCTCTCTAATTTTTTCCATTGTCTAAGTTCCCCTTAAGGTAGGTTTTAGTAACATCAACATCATCATCATAATAATAATAATAATAAGAATAATAATAATAATAATAATATGCGCTAACTCGGACTTAAGGGGAAAATCTTTTGTGTTATATTCCCCTTAACGTCGTTTTTTTAATTGTTCTCTAATTTCTCCATTGTCTAAGTTCCTACACATCTAGATGTGTATAAGAGACAGATCGCGTTGTTTTGTTTTGGTGACAA